GCCCGGGCCAAGACAGGGGAATTTTCTTGGGATGTAACAATTGGAGCCTTCGTCCAGCCAAAGCCGCAAGACGGCATATGAAAACCGCAATCCATTTGAGGTCGGTGTCCAGTTACTCGGATACAGCGTCCTTTGGACGGGGTCAAATGTCCAACGTGCCCAGTATACCTCGATACCCATTCATGCCGGTGATCATTGCCACAAACAGGAAGATGTGATGATGTTAGGTTCGCTCGTCTCTTCTTGGTCGTTTTGGGACCACGGCTTTTTGTCAACTATGTGAAGTGCTGGTTGTTCATCGACCCGGTTATAGCTTCGGATGCTGGCTTTTCATCCCCTCACTTTGGTAGGAAACATCCGCCGCGAGAACGCAATGAGTAGGGCTTCCTCATTCGAGGCTGTCTGAGACTCTCGGTCGAGTGGGAGCATTTCGTGAGACGCACGGGGTGACCAGCCACAACCCGAGACATCCACCCCGGCCACACTCAGGTATTCGGAGGTGACCCTTGAAGATTTTTAATGTTCACTCTATTGACCGAACGATTACCGCTATGTATGCGATCGATCGTTCAACCGAGTCTCTCCAAGATACGATACTAATTGAACCCAGAGCAATCGAAGGAAGACAAACCAAACGAGGTAGTATATTTGATCCAACTCAGCGGCAGTTTGGGCAACGAACGCACCTGTTCGTTTTTCGGGTCAGCCATTGGTAACCTTATAATTTAGCTCTAAATTTCACAGACCCATGAGAACTGGATAGTGGTGCTAAAATTAAGTTTCGAATTTTTAAAAAGTAGATACAAGAATAGGGGAAAAAGTCTCTTTTAAAGGAAAAATGGGAATTCCCTTTGGCTTCGAACATTCCGAATACTTCTCTCTAATTTGGTGTTCTTCATCAGCGAATTGTGCTGCTTGACACTTCTATTCTGCGAACATTTACCTTCCTCTCTATCTCTCACCCAATTTATACTGAGACGATAAACGACAGTTCCATTAAAGTGCTGACCACCTGGTTTGATGCAACAAACTCTGATTCTCATGCGGGTTTTCGCGCATTTCTTCAATTCGTCGGATCTCGCATTGCTGACATGGGTGTTGGTTTTCACATAGAAATCGTGCTTAGTTCTGTCGTGATCTCTTGCACACAGACATGTATATGTCGTTTCGCAAGCTTGTCGTCATGATTCGGTAAATTTCGACCACTTCTTCATCAGCGGACAGTTTACTCGCTACACTGCAGAACGAGATTGATCTCAACTCCGAATTCTGTACTCAACGTTTGATAAAAGTTTGTCGGAGAAAAGATTCTCATTAGTGAAATGGCAAAGCAGGTGACCACCACCGATCCTTCACTCCAACAAAAGTGATCCGTTTCATTTCGTTTTGTTCAAAAGTTCTTTGGCTTCACATCAGTACAGTCGAAAACCGTTCCTCCGAATCTGTTAAATCATTTGTGGATTTCTTGACCTCCAGGTAGGCGTTTCTTATTACTTCAATTCGTATTCAAAGGAACTGATCAGGGGAACATTGGATAAGTCTGCGTGCTTCATTTCCACATATTTCGTTGTTTATTGGATACTTCCCAAGGTTAATTGTGGGTGCTCAATTCTCCAGGTCAGTGTGAAGGTAATTGGACGAAAGTATTTTCAATCTTCCTTCAAATCTGTGTTGTAACCATGTCCCCTCCAATTGTTTGTGTTGTCCAAGATTCAATATACTGTCCACCTTTTTACACTTATGTTCTCACTGACCTGTATATTGGACCCCCCCTCCAAAAAAAAAATAATAGAATCGCAATCCCGATGCTAGTTAGAGATGCAATACCCTTGTCCTTTGTCGAGCACGTCGATAGATTTTGATTGATAACTCTTGTTTCCCCTCGTAACCCGTTCAGAGTAATTCACGCGTGCCACGCACATTCGAAGCGTACTCGAAATCTGTCATAACTGGTACCAGTACTTTAGGTATTTCGAACGTATTTCATGATAGGAATACTTGCTTGTTAGATATTGTGACCAATCTGGACGGTAAAGAGAAGTTGAATGAAACGTACTTTCGAATTATGATGTCTGTCTTTATTTTTACTTTGATTTAAGATTCCGGCCTCATAACGTGTTTTCAGTTGTGGGAACCATATTCAATCGTTATCCTTGCAGACTTAATTTTAGTCTTGTGTCTGTCTACTAGGAAGCGTTATCCACCCTAAGATTAGAAAGTGGCAATAATTTATCTTTTTTTACTACATAGCCTCTTGTGATGAACAACAGATAGGTAAACCCCATCATCACGAGGGCTTCCTTTTCAACAATGGAAACCGGCAAATTAAGTCCTGAGATTCGGCGTGGCCGATCCACACAATACCTCACTGGGTTAGGCGTAGTACCGGCAAAATCTTCATTTTAACAAAAAGCTGCTTGGTATACTCAGTTTTATTTTACACCAATTTTCACTTACACTTTCGTTCGCTGTTCTTCGTGTCCCTATTTCATTGCCCATTTAGTGAACCAGTCATGATGGACTAAATGGAAGAAGGGCTGGGACATGTGCTACGAATGTCACTAGATAGGTGGCCACGGCGAGCGATGTTTGCCGAGGCGGGTAGCGATTGGAAAAAGATGAAGGGAGGTGAAACTAAGACCTGGTATGAGGGTATGAAAACCCTAATCAGGGGACTAGGTCACATAGGTCCCGTTAGGCTCCCTGGCTGGTGACCTCGGGATGGTCGTAACCGATGGTTACAGACACCGAGCGATATGGTTGCATGTCGCAAACAGTGGTGCTCATACATCTACTCATTAATCTTGTAACTTCACTCTATATGAATTCGCTATCTTTCGCTTGAATTTGCCCTCAATATTCCAACCATTATTCTGTTGTTTTATCCAAATGGGTCACCAAAAGACAGCAACCCAAACCGGCGCACCGTAGTGCATGGTTGATGGTTGAAAGAACTGAACTGAAATGGAAGAAGTGAGGAATTGAGAACATTAATAAGTCTAAGATGCAGGGGACTCCTTTATGCTAAATGTTCAGGAAAATTGAACAGATGCACGAGCACTAATGAATACGGCATTCAACCATACCATTCCGTTTCAAAATCATAACCCAGGGGCAAAGTGTGATCTATTCAACATGCTTATAATGCTGTGAAGGACTGGTGTTAGCCGGACACTGTGGTGTTTGACCACTGTTTTTTGCATCCTACTATAACTTCGGATGCAAAAGGACTTATGTACCAAAATTGTCGTACACCGTTTACCGGGTTCAAATCGCGCAATGCAATCTATGCGAATCAATCGCGCTGAAACTCTGTTGTACTTCGATTTGAGTAGTGTTTTCTGATTGAGTGACTCCTAATCGTAGATCGTAGAGTCGAAAATGTGGCACCCGGTGCGCAAGGTGTTTTCAGCAGTCCCCGGTGTGGTATTCTGGACCATTCAGTAACAATAAGATCACCTGGAGAGTTAAACGGAGCCGGGCTTACCCAACGTATGTCTAATCGAGTTTCTGTCTGTTCATCAACAATCATCTCTGCTCATAAGCTACTCATGTTCTTTTGAGGGATCTAGTTAATTTTCCTTTGCCTGTTTATAGCTGGTTTGTATTTGGTTGTGTTGTGACACGCATGATCAACAAAGAGTAGTTGATGCACAACCATATGGCGTTGCTGTCCCCGAATTTCGCAGTATCATTTGATCGTTATGTGAATGTCTTTAGCTCTTCGTTCAACTTTCACGTGGTGCACACCATTGGGCGATCCTTTATGCGTGCTTTCCTTGTTCTCCTCTTTGTCCTTCCACAGGATAACGCCTATCGTTCCACCTCCTCATTACCATGGATTTAAACAATAGCAATATCAGTGCCGGCAGCAGTAGCGGGAATAATGGCAATAATAACTACAATGATAATATCGGTGGTTATGGTGATTCTCACAGTCGTCACAAGAAAGACAAATCCGTCGGAAACAAGTTCAAGTCACTTTTCTCGTCAAAAGAACATGGGAAAGAGAAGAAAGACACCGGGAAAGGTGCAGAAATGCCATCAACCGAGCTGTTTGAATCCGATGTCAATAGCTTGTCGAACGATGAAATCGAACGGCGATTCCAAATGATGCTGGAAGATATGAATCTATCACAAGATCAGACTACATCGTTGAGGAATAAACCCCTTGAGGTCAAACGCCAACTGCTAATCACCTATCAAGCCAATCGGGCTTCTTCATCGAAAAAGAGTGTCCTCGAAGACTGTGTAAAAAAACTTCAATCCCCACAACATTACACACCTAAACATTTGTCAAGCATGTTGGATACGTTACGTGTGAATTTGTCCAGTGGTGGTGTCAGTTGGGTCCAAGACTTCAACAACCCACCTAACGAGGGGTTGAACCGGCTACTACGATTCTTGGCACTCACACTGACCGGGTACTATCCGGATCTGGGGTTAAACTGTTTACGCTGTATCCGCGCTCTGGGTAATTGTGGTTACGGGTTATACGCGCTGGTGGATCACGAAACTGCGTCCACCTTCATTGCTCGATGCTTAAGTTCCGATCAGGACGGGATGATCGACTGTGCGATCGAGCTTCTATCCTCAATAGCATATTGCAATGACAAAGGTTATCAAAAAGTGCTTGAGGGGTTGACCAATAGTGCAGAATTGGAAAATCGGCCAGGTGATCGTTTTGTCCCACTGGTCAATGCCCTAGGAAAACCGGATTTGGCTCGTGCGGCGCTTCAGTTGATCAATGTGATTGTCAATCGTAGTTGCCTGTCAGACAGTGCGTTCAATGCGGACTATCGTATTCATTTGCGTCTGGAGTTGAACAAATTGGGTATCGGCGATTTGCTTCAAAGGCTAGAAACCACCTCACAGGATCGCGATATACAAAATCATATTCAGATTTATCGAAGCCGAGCGGAGCAGGATGCGGACGAACTGTTCGATCGATTTGAAATGGCAAAAGCGGATCTGGATGATTCGAATCAAGTTTTTCAAATTCTCAATCGAACGTTATCTGGGACGCAGTCAGAGAAAGCCTTTCTGTCCATTTTACAGCATCTGTTATTCGTTCGGGACGAACCCTATCGATTTGCTTATTTCACCTTACTCGAGGAATTGGTTAGTCAGGTTGTGATTCAAAATGATGGTTTTGACCCGGATCCTCGAATGACTGTTTTACGATTAGACGTCGAATCAACTGTTATGACCTTGTTAGATGCTCTAAAGCAGGCGGACGCATCTAGTCGGGTGGACGATCTGCAACGGAAGTTGGATAAGGCGTTACAAGAAAAATTGGAAGCTGAAGCCACAATTCAGACGCTTCAACAGCGATTGGATGCTGGCGGTGGTAGTTTGTCGGACGGAAAAGTCAAAGTGCCTGAAGGCTTAGAGGAGAAGCTACGCCCTTCTGGAACAATTCCTCCTCCACCACCGCTATCTAGCAGTGGTGGTACTATTCCGCCACCACCGCCTCTTAGTGGGGGCATTCCGCCACCACCTCCTCTCAGCGGAGACATTCCACCGCCACCACCTCTTAGTGGAGGCGTCCCACCACCACCTCCCCTCAAAGGAGGTATTCCGCCACCACCGCCTATGGGCTCAGGTATTCCTCCTCCACCACCAGGTGGAATCCCTAAGCCACCGGCAGCTCCTTCGCTTCCCTTTGGTTTGAAGCCTAAGAAAAAGTACAGCCCAGAAGTTCCTCTAAAAAAAGCGAACTGGGATCAAATCGCTCCCGAAGCGTTGGATAAAAACTCTGTCTGGGTTGGTTTGAAAGAGGACGAATTGGCAAGCGACGATATTTTGGATTCACTTGTAACTCAGTTCAGCACAAAACCGGCGAAAAAGTTGATCGTTGAATCGGATGTCGACGGAGTCTCAGGTGCTGCGCCACAAGCAATGAAAAAGTCCAAGGCGCTACGGTTTTTAGATGGAAAAACTGCCCAGAATTTGTCTATTCTTCTTGGTTCATTGAAAGTTCCCTACCCGGAGCTTCGGCGCCGAATTGTCGCGATAGATGAGACTCTTCTCACTCAGAATATGTTGGAGCAGTTAATCAAAGCTTTACCTGAACCGCCGATTATTGCCAAAATCGCTGCTCTAAAAGATGAATATGATTCGTTAGCTGAACCAGAGCAGTTTGTCTGTTTGGTCAGCGATATCAAGAAACTCATACCACGACTGCATGCCATTCTGTTCAAGTTGCGGTTTGACGAGAAACGAGATGAGATCAAGCCGGACATTGTTGATGCGGATGAAGCCCTACGCGAGGTTCAATCCAGTACACATCTGAAACGTATCCTGGAGTTGATCTTGTTATTAGGTAATTATATGAATTCCGGTTCGAGAAACGCTCAGTCTTACGCATTTCACATCAGCTACCTTACCAAATTGGAGAATACCAAAGATACCTCGAATCAACAAACGTTACTGAACTTTATAGTCGACTGTTTGGAGCAGAAATTTCCCGATACAGCACAGGGGTTGGTAGATGATTTGTCTCATGTGGAGCGAGCGGCTCGCGTATCAGAAGACGTGATCAAGGCAGGAGTTGCAGAGATGAAAAAGTCGGTGAACTCTATCGAGACAGATTTGCGCACATACAAACCACAAGAACCGGACGATGTGTTTGCGACTGTTATGTCGGACTTTGTCCAAACGGCGTCCACACAGGTCACTCAACTGGAGACCATGTTTGACCGAATGCGAGAGCGATTCGGTGCAGTCGCCAAATATTTAGCTTTCGATCCAAATAAATATCATATGGAAAACCTTTTTTCCGATTTGAAGCAGTTTCTCTCCTCATATTCACGAGCCCTGACTGACAATGCCAAACGTCGCGCTCTGATCGAACGTCAGCGTAAGGCACAGGAAGAGCAGGCGCGTCGCGAACGCGAGCGTGAGGAGAAAGCGCGAACCACCAATGTCCCTTCAGGTCACATGGGTCCGTCCGAGGATGAAGGAAACGTGATCGATAATCTGATGGAGGCACTCAAGTCCGGTGCTGCTTTTACGGCCAATAATGGTCGACCGTCGGGTGGAGGTGCGCGGCGACCGCGATCTCGTCCAAATCCCGCGTCCGGCTTAACTTCTGTCGCTGGTCCCGCTGCTGCCCGATCTCGTCAGTTGATGCGTGAGCGTTCGCGGAATTTCGGTGATAGACCTCCAGTGATTGTGGATGTAACTTGAACACTACTCTTGTTTCTCTCGATTCCCATTACTGCCTTTAAGTCAGAGATATAATACCGTTATTGCCAAAATCGCCTTCAAATGCCAATCACCCAGGCCATAATTTCTATTCAGGCGAACGTCCCAGTTATTCTTAATCGTTCGCATTCCGTATTGCTGTGTCATGTACAGACGTATATATCAAAAATAACACTTACGTACAAATGCATATATACCTATTTTTTCTAACGGGACTAGATTCGATTCCCCTCTTCTTCGACATTTCACAATGTTCCCTTCCTGCAACTCACCTCATCGAGACGGATTATTTGACATTTGGCTGCTTTCACCCTTCTGCCCTAACCCACAGATAAGNCAACCGAGAGTACCCGCCCCTCCAATTCATTGCTCACATTCGTGTGTTTTACTCACTTGCTTTCTCCACCCGAAGATGATCTGCTATTGATTCCACGAAGCTTCTTATCGTTGTTTCCTGTATTCTTTGTCACTCCAGAGCATAGAAATGCTCCCCCTGACTGTCCTAGTCCGTCTCCGCCAGTTGTTGCAATGCTTTCATTGACTAAATTCTGGGTGTTTTCCACGGCTCCTTATGTACTTTTGTAGTACAATGTGATTTCTAAAGCCTAGATACACCCTCCTCCCTCTCTCTCTGTTCTTCCTAACTCTTCACTCGCGTTGCCATTGTGCCTGACATTCTGTTACACATTCACATCATTCCTATACCAGCTCTTTCTCATGAGCATGTATATCTCGATATGATTCTGTCAAATGAAATAAAGACTTTTGTGATCGTGTCTGCTTTTAGCACCCCGGCTTTATGCACGTGTCGCTTGGTTTGACTCTCGGCTTTGCTCTCTCTCTCTCTCAGACGCACACACAAACACTACTCGTCGTTCTCAGTCCATAGTTAATGCAACTAGGAAGCTCACCATGTCTAGCGGGACTGGAGCATCTTATTTGTTCATTAAACTGAGGGCTTTCTCCCATGCCAACTTGCAATTGTCAACTAAATTCTGCGCCTTGTTAGACGGGGAGCGTTATTCGGGCGATTGAGGGAATCAACCAATGTTTCCGAAGTAAAAGAACACAGTTCTCGTTCCGGTAATCTGGGTCCTATGAGTATTTTGTTTTGACTCCTAAATATATTTTCCAGCTTTCAACCAAATCAACTATTATCTCCGGCTTTGCCTTCCTAGTCGGCGCCTCAGATAAAATTGATCTCCCTTTCACTGTTCACACAATCATCCGAAGCAGATGTTTGTGATTACTGTTTCGCTTTCTACTTTTTGTTGACGTTGTATTTTTATTTTCCCCGCGAAAGCTATTTACATCGCAATGAAATAGAACAGAATTAGCGTAGTGATGAATGTGTACTAATCCTGAGTATGTATGCCATCAAACTGTAAGCTTCATCATAGCCAGCGCAGTATTGAGCCTGCCCTTATTGGTTTCTGTTTACCCGGCTTGAAGGACACGTTTCTGTTTTGTAATCGGTCTTGTGCTGCATAATTATTTTGTAGGAACTAGGCTTTGAATTAAGTGAATGAGTGATGTTATTGTGGTAGTGTGGTTAGTGGTCAAAGTCACTGAATTGCCCCAGCCTCGTAAGGTCCGAGGCTCATAATCAGCCACCGCTACCCAATTTCGCTTGCGTCCGCCTCAATACCGTACGTATCCGATCGGGGTCTCTTTTGTTCGCCTTCTCCAGCACCTGGGCTGATGTCGGTCATCGCGAGTGAACAATAAATCCTTGCGACTATGGGGTTCGTCCCTGTTACTGTTCACACGGTGGTGTGCAACAAAACGAACAAAGACAACGCGTAATAAGTCGTATCACTCAGCTAAGCTCCACGTTTTCATCAAAATGTCAGCTTTGTTTCTGAACCATAATAATAATAAGGCTGTTGTGCGCTCGGCCGTTTAGGGATGGCTTCTTTTCCATATCATTAACTGCATTCTTCCGGGTGGCTTTCCCATCGTCATTTATTCCTTGCAGTAGTTGTCACTTTTGACTTAGCGATGCTTTTGTGGTTTTTGCAATTCATAGTTTTTACGTAAGACACAGACCTTTGGTTAGTGAGTAGACCACTGAAATTGTTTCCACCTTTTCATCTTGTGGGGTTTCGCGAGGAAAAGCACATTCTCTGCCCGCGATGAGGTTGCTTATGTATGACCACCGAGGGGAATGTCATGTTAAGGTGGTTTCGTTTAATTTACATAACCATTCGAATTTGTTTTCCAAAATGTGTTAAATTATATCATGACCACCAATTAAGTGTTAGTTGCCGACTATTTCCGCTGAATGCTCCCCCCCCCCTAAATCGTGCAATATTTTCGTTTACTTATGATCGATCGTACGAATGAATTTAATATCCCCCGGCAATAGGCTTATTTTCTAAATTTGTTTGAGCGTATATGTTCCTATGGTTCCGTTGTTTATTAAATTTATTTCGATCTGTTGATGCAAGAATATCGATCCATCTTCGTGCCGCATTTTACTGCTAGTGGTAAGCCTGACTATGCTTTTTGAGTATAGACAATATTATAACATTAGATGATAATAATGTAACATGCGAATAATTTACGAAATATTTTTGCAAAGTTAATGAGGAATGCATTGGAATTTTGTATACAATGATACAATTTTCAAGAGGGAGAAGCGGCCAATCAAAAGGCTCACGATTGTTTAGAATTGGTGACCAAACTTCAATTTTGAAAATTCTATCGACTTTAGCTTAGGCAAGAAACAGATAAGCACTAGGTTGTTTTACAGAGCATTCAGAGGAATTAGTTCATATAAATGTCCAATTTTGTTCGACGATAGTTATTTCTAAGATTGTAGCCTGGAGCTAACGAGCTATCAGAAGTTGTAGACATGCATCAAGAACTTATGATGGATTGGCATCAACGGCTGACAACTACATGATCTAATTACGGTTAATTACTTAAAATGCTCATTCACCGTTAGCTTAAGAGCTTCAGCGTTTAAGTCGTCATAAATTAGAACTGTTCCTGTCGATCGGGTCATATAAGGGACTTCGAAGCGCGATACGAGGTAGAATTACGGTGGAATGCCTGTACAGCAGTGAAAAAAGCACTTCCCGTTCTCTGTAAGCTAGACTATCTTGAAAAGTAGCCGCACAGCAGTTGAATTGTCCAGAGACCGCGCTCAACGCTTTTCTCGTTTTCCGTCTCACACTGTGTGCCAAATCACCTGCATTTACGGTGACGCATACATAGGTAGAACAAACCGTCTGCTCTCACAACGGATGGCCGAACATATTCCACGGTGATTGGTGAAATCGATCACGCAACCGATAAATGATGGCCATCCGTTGCAAAACTTAACAAGACTCAGTTGACTTCAATTCGTCTTTCAAACCACTATTACGTAATCACAATACTAAACTTTTGGCCATTAGTGAAGCGTGATCTATTCGATTACTTCACCCGACCTAATGAGCACAAAAGTTTTTGACGCAATCAATCCACTTCCCGTGGAGTTGTCTTTCTACTTCTACATTTAGTAATCTTTGTATGCTTGTACACGTTCATTCAACATAATTGAACAGCCTCATGTGCTGTATATGTGCCTGTTTGTTTTAAGTCAGCGGTTGAGAAGATTCAATGAAATGTTAACATCTCGTGACACATGTCTTCTTCCTGTATTGATGACATGAATTACATTAAGCTTCTCACCACGGGCAAAGCCTGCTAGAAGCATCTAGTACAATCGTCGACGATCGTAAGAAACAGTGGTTGACTTTTCACGATGATCTGTCTATTTTCCCTCCTTTCCATTGGAAAAACATTCTCACTTTACTTTCTCGTACTCTCCTCACTTTACCAACTTCAAACTTTCACAATCGATTTTATTAACCGACTCATCATGGTCTCCCGGTATGTTATCAACGTATTGTTTCGTCATACGCGAAAGCTAGTGCATATCTATTCAACTGCCTGATGCAGCCCATGGAAAAGGAGTTCTTCCGTGTGTGAGCTGCATCTGTGCTTGTGCTTTTCAAGGTTTTCCTATTTCTCAGCGGAAGAAATGTCTCATTTGTTTGTGTGTGGAATACAACTATCACATAATTAAAATTATTTCGATCGTGTCGTCGTCGCAGTAGAGGTCAACTGATTATGCATCCACGCGAACGGAGATAGAATCGATGTCAGATCTCGCTCGCTACGGTGGCTCCGCGCTTGCCGTCATTGATTCACGTTCACAATCTTTGTTCACCAACCCGGACACACGTGTTGGCACCCGATATGCGCGTGTACGCACGCGTTGCTGCTCGGGTTCGATCGAATTCGACAGTGACTGTCATACATACGTAGGAAAGCGAATAAGTTCCGACTACCGATATCAGGCACGCTCGCGTACTCTCTCTCTCTCAGTGTATGTGTGTGTGTGTGTGTGTGTGATAACTCACCACAGGACAAGACGATAGAAAGGAGAAAAACGTTTTGGTTCGTTGGCCTCGTAACTGTTCTGTCATCCTCAATGCGAGCTTGTCACCTAGTCAAGTACATCAATCTTTCTCACTGGATTGTGAAATCCGTTTTTGTTCACATTTACTCTTTGAATGTCCCTCGGCCTACCATGTGACAATCGTGATTTCATTGATCCTATACAAAACCTGTCGAACGGTACTACCATATTGTAAGATCAACATAAAAATGGTAAACGCCCTTTTTCAGTTAGCGACAAAATTATCTCGCTGCACCTTTTTTATCTGGTGGCTATTTCGCACTGCTGTGTTCAGGCACAATGATATTTCACCGAATCGAGTTATGAAATTATCTGGTGTGTTGTGTCGATGTCTACGCCTAATGAAATGGTAGTAAATTATTAAGTATGATAAAATTGTCTTGTGCCCACAGCTCCGACCTTTTATTCGATGAATTTGGAGCTCTCTTGCACGTGATATTCTCAAGGGAATTGTAAACAGCACAATTCCGTTTTTTTGTCATGGATTGTCTGAACTGCTTCTGCTGCT